AAAAAAATATATATCATGAATCAGTTGTACATCATTTTTCCAACATCATGACACATTTTTTAAGATATGGCGTTTTCTCTCCTTTTCGTCGAATTGATATAAAGACACACAATGTAATGGCTTTTGTTCGCTTGCCCTATTTTTGTTCCCACATTCCGACATTTCGTCTCTTGCCCAAATCCTAATTACAACAAAATGCGGTTTTTATTACTTAACCCTTCCGAATTAGAATTAATAATTCAGTGTCTATAGCATAGCTGTCATGAAACCATCTGTTGGGCGTTGAATGTAGCAGTCTTGCGAAGACATTGAATTCCATTGGTTCCTTGATCTGTGTCTATAAAACAGTAGAGGAATGTCCTGATAATTGCTGTTTGATTATATTCTATTTGTATCTTCGGACACACCATATCTTATTCTGTATGAACATTGATATTCTGTACCAATTCCATCTACATCAGGAATCGATATTCTCGAGTGATAAAACACTGTCTTGGAAATATCCACCTCAATTTATATCGCTATAAAGGTCGGTTTTAAAGTTTTTTATGGGTTTGTATTTTTTTCTGTTGTATTATTTCATAGCAGACCGATACAAAATGGTCGTGTAGGGTTGTAACAGGACAAAATGATAAACTCAGCTGTCTAAAACAGTTAGGTATTAGAGGAAATTGTTCTATGACTTTTGAAAGCTTTTAGAAGTAGGGGCTATGATATCATACTTGGTAGAGATTCAGACAACAAAAATAACCCCGGGCAAAGGTCCCATGTGTGTGATTCGATCCGTATGTAATATCTCTGGCAGAATGTGTGTTTCATTATGATGGGATCTCGTACCGTTCACTGGATGACATGCGACAAGACTATGAACGAATGATCTTTGAGACTGACACCAGCTCGTACATTTATTTGTACAGGATGACACCACTTGAAAATAACTTGTTGTTAAACACATTAAATATACATGTATCAGTATATACTATGTTTATATAAGCATGCGATAACTTGGGTTAGGATATTTGGCAACTCCAGGGCACTGTCATAGTTACATCATATTAAAATTCCATGCCCTGGACATTGTCGTACGAGATCCATTTCACAGGTAATTGATTATCGAACCCTTACTGTTCATTCAGGCTGAAAGGGGTCGCGGTGGTCGAGTGGTTAAGGAATCTGACTGTCTTTATCGTTAGTCCTCCACCTTTTGGTCGCGGTTCGAGGCTTACATGAGACCGCAGCCAGGTATTAGCCACAGGTCGAGGGTTTTCTCCGTGACCACAAGCTTTCCTCGAGAATCCAAACCTGACACGCCCTTAAATGACCCTGTATGTTACTAGGATGTAAAGCAACAATTAACTAGACCAAACCAATTAAGATGAAAGTTATATTAACTGTTTAATTTGGAGATGTGGTGTTGGTCGTGTTCGTTTATAGTGTTTCATACCAAAACAGAAAAACCTCGAAATCAGCATTCTTGCATCACGAAATTAACTTATATTATTCTGGATTTTCTGTAATTCTCATAAAGAATGTGTAATCCATGTTTTTAATAAGAAATAAGATCTATTTAAATATTGTGGTTTGATGAAATGTGCATGTTGGCCTGATCATCTAATAAAATAAAGACCGATAATAGCCAGAAATATTTATCAAGTAATATTTTAACATGATGGAGATAGAGATTTCATGGTCTGTAGTATTTGTTTAAGGGGAACATGACTTTGTGTTAAATCCTTAAGAAATGCACAAATCCACCCGTGTAAATTGTTTTTGTTTATAAGAAACACTGCTTTTCTTCCTTGATTAGCATGTTGTTGCAGAGTTCCTCACAATACTTGCCACTATCAAAAAGTGACTCACGACTTTCTGTCAACAGCACGTTGTGTCAATAGTTACAATGGGGTATGTCTTGGTTGTTTATGACTAGGCAAATGGACATCAATAGCGTTAAGGTTAATCTGTGCATACTTTTCTTTTTCTAGTACCAAAGGGCAGCTCCTGAAAGATTTAATCATGATTAGCGTCCTAGGCAGATATAGATCGATACAGGCTGTAATATATATCTTACCAACGTGATATGCATTTTATACATGTATTGTGGGAGGCGAGGGACAGCTGACGAGTGAAGTAGCTAGAAGTGATACTTTAAGTTAAGTAGAAACGGCTTGTTTAGTTATATATTATTCATGATATCGAACGGTATCGCCGTATTTGAACCATCTGTTCCACCTCTAGACTAGGTGTGTCTGTATTTACATCTGTCTGATCCCTAAATAACAGATAATTATCAATCATTACACCGCAGAGCGTGTGTATATTAATTACAATTTTTATTGAGAAAAAAAAAAGGAAGAAAAAAAACCTTTAACGTTAAGTATAGTTAAATTCTATATTCAATATCGGTGATAGTGGCAAGATATTGCAGAAATATAAGTAAGGATGTCAACGATGATTGTATAAAAGATTTATATGTACTATCAACGATGATTGTACAAAAGATTTACATGTACTATCAACGATGATTGTACAAAAGATTTACATGTATTATTAACGATGATTGTACAAGAGACATAAATGTACAAGTGGTTTCTTTCAATGCAAATTTGGAATTAGATCGTCTAGAATAGAGAGAAATAAGTCAGTGATGTTTTACCATACAGTTGTTTCATCCTCCCAAGTACTCGTCAGTGATGCCACATCATACAGCTGTTTTGTCCTCCTAGTACTCGTCAGTGATGCCACATCATACAGCTGTTTTGTCCTCCTAGTACTCGTCAGTGATGCCACATCATACAGCTGTTTTGTCCTCCTAGTACTCGTCAGTGATGCCACATCATACAGCTGTTTTGTCCTCCTAGTACTCGTCAGTGATGCCACATCATACAGCTGTTTTGTCCTCCTAGTACTCGTCAGTGATGCCACATCATACAGCTGTTTTGTCCTCCTAGTACTCGTCAGTGATGCCACATCATACAGCTGTTTCATCCTCCTAGTACTCGTCATTGATGCCACATCATACAGCTGTTTTGTCCTCCTAGTACTCGTCAGTGATGCCACATCATACAGCTGTTTTGTCCTTCTAGTACTTGGCAGTAATGCTACATCATACAGCTGTTTCATCCTCCTAGTACTCGTCAGTGATGCTACATCATACAGCTGTTTTGTCCTCCTAGTACTCGTCAGTGATGCCACATCATACAGCTGTTTCAACCTCCTAGTACTCGTCAGTGGTGCTATATCATACAGCTGTTTCAACCTCGCAAGTACTCGTGAGTGATGCTACATCATACTGCTGTTTCAACATCCTAGTACTCGTCAGTGATGCTACATCATACAGTTGTTTCCTGCTAGTACTCGACAGTGATGCCACATCATACAGCTGTTTCAACCTCCTAGTACTCGTCAGTGATGCTACATCATACAGCTGTTTTGTCCTCCTAGTACTCGTCAGTGATGCCACATCATACAGCTGTTTCAACCTCGCAAGTACTCGTGAGTGATGCTACATCATACTGCTGTTTCAACCTCCTAGTACTCGTCAGTGATGCTACATCATACAGTTGTTTCCTGCTAGGACTCGTCAGTGATGCTACATCATACAGCTGTTTTGTCCTTCTAGGACTCGTCAGTGATGCTACATCATACAGCTGTTTCGTCCTTCTAGGACTCGTCAGTGATGCCACATCATACAGCTGTTTCAACCTCGCAAGTACTCGTGAGTGATGCTACATCATACTGCTGTTTCAACCTCCTAGTACTCGTCGGTGATGCTACATCATACAGTTGTTTCCTGCTAGGACTCGTCAGTGATGCTACATCATACAGCTGTTTTGTCCTTCTAGGACTCGTCAGTGATGCTACATCATACAGCTGTTTCATCCTCCTAGTACTCGTCAGTGATTCTACATCATACAACTGTTCTAGTATTCGTTTTTGATACTAAAAATGAAAATTTAAAGTGATTGAAGGAAATTTCAAATGTAATCTAAAAAAGAACGTGTTAGCGTCTTTTGCTTTGATGATAAATCTTTCGAAAGAAAAATGTGATATTGACAAAGTTACGTTACTGTCTGACATTTTAGTAAGCATCGTACACAATGACTTTCATTTCACACAAAGATATAAATTATTTCCAAGTAGCATGGTAAAGGCGATCAGTAAATTTCCCCATGGTCCTTATGGTCAGTAATCCTTCCTCTAAACCCTGTGTTGTGTTTTAAATCTATCACGGAGATCGTGGTACTTTTTATCAAGTCAAAAATTATCATTTATTTAAACACAGACAAGCATATATATCATTCATTATCAGAAACGTCAGATATACATTTGGTGCACGTGTAATATTTCATCGTAAATGCTATGATTCGTGATCGTAAAGAAATCTGTTTTTCCATTGTTGTATTAGTTTTGCCAATGTGATATTACTGTACCTTAATGTTTACATATAATTGTTTAATTTTTTTTTTATTTTATTTTAAAGTTGTTCGTGTTCGGGCTAGCACACGGCTATTTAATTTCGAAAATAGCAATGTGATGGTGTCCATGTATACGGACATAACAAATATATGTATTTTCTAATTTTTTAAATTTTATTTTTTTGTGATTTTTTTTAATTGATTGTGGAAGTGTTCACGGGGTGTTTGATTCCATGCTAGCCTAGCTTTAATAACCGCAAAAATAAGATAAAGCTAATAAATCCTCTACGAATTTTAACTATTTTACAGTATGAAGGATATTGATGTGTGATTTCGGTGACATGTGAAATAAAGATTTCCTTCCACAGTTATCGTTTGAATGCAGATCAAGATTTGGGCCACTTATATCCCTCACTTTATATAGCGCCAGATTTTTTATGTTTATCGATTCTAGATCGATATAAAAACGTCGATATAACGTCAGAATAATTCGGATCAAATATTTACATGCGTTTGAAAAAACAAGATATGTTACAGGTGCGAATTTTATCCTTTATGCTCAATGTTCAATTTGTTTCTTTACAGACCAGCACTACCGTGAACCACTCGGATCCAAACGCTACATCAGTGATGGGGACCCGGTCAGCCAAAGGGAACCAGTGAAGGTACTACAAATTACTGTATAGATAGTGGGTAACACTGAACAGGCGACAAAGTTGTAGTAATTTACAGAGGAGATAAAGAACGATATATATCACAGACAAGATATGTTTGAGAAACACAATGTCCCTGATAGTAAGCAATTTATGAAGGCTAAGCAAACATGAGGGCTTAGAAATTTAACTGAAAGGCATTTTCGCCAATTCATTGAAGGTGAAGGTGAACTTATGCGGTAAAATCGAGCGGAAAGTCATTAGGAATGTATGTGGTGAACAAGGATGTGTTCTAAACATAGCATTAGATATGGATTGGCATGGAGAATATGGGACAAACTCCACAAGTTAAGGAAAGCAAAATGCAATTATAGTATACATCCAAGTCCAACAAACAAAATTGGCGACTTGTTGTTTTTACCTCATTTCTTATTTTCATTTCATCATTAAAGTGTGGTAGCTCTGGCAGATATGGACAGATTTTGACATCTGACGACAATTGAGATAGCACCCACTTAAAGCAATAGAATTTGGTATAAGTAAGTTAAAGTTATTTAACGGAAATGAAGAAATAATTTTTCTCAAGTCCTGTAACTGGCGAATCCTCACAGATTTCTATCAATGTCGAAATAATACAAGATTTTACTGGTAAAAATAAACATTAAATCGCGTGAAAGATTCTTTTAATTTCATATTGGAAAAATTATGATATCAGTATGTTAACTGAAAATCGCTAAAACGAGAGCAAAACATGGAAAATTGACATTGAGATCCATGAGACAGTTCAAAATATATGTCTTCTGCTTCGTCGTTGACACCCGCCATTAAGTCTTGTTCAATGTATTTACATTATAAGTAATTCATATTCACAAATTTCTCAGCTTATCAGCTTTGTTAGAAAATACCAACATATGAACATTAACTTTTACCAAACTGATATTTAATAAAACTAGGACAAAATAGGAACAAAAGAAAGAGACTCTGTACAGAATATAGGAGAAATAAGACCAGGTGTTCCGGAAGGTTGCTCCAATAACGACACCCACGATGTTAATCTTGGTCAGTCCAAGTAAGTAATGTCACGTTCCCAATTGAGAGCAAGGGCAACAAAAACGGAACAACCAGACATACGAACGAAAATCAAACACGTCCAGCTTTATATCATTCAAAGATATATAATTTCCCAATGAGATCATTGTGATGACTGTTTTCGTCATCAACCTGCGTCTACAAAAATTCTTTTGTGAGTTTGTCCGTCAGTTGTCGACGTTTAACGCGAAAATCATGAATTGACGACGTATAAACAACATAGGTTTTGGATGCAGGTATGTTGCTATCCAGCAATGACAAAATGTCATAACCAGGGAAATTAAAATCATCGCATTTAATATACATGATGGCGTTGTCCATGGTGGTTTCGTGGTCGGAAACAATCGAGATAAGCGGCTGGTGTAATCAACAATAAATATATTCTAACTGTTTATTACATTTTTCTACCAGTAAGTAATAATATATCGGGTTATCTTTGTCCGTCAGTCCTGGATATGTGTGTTTCACATGTGTAATGTCCGTCAGTCCTGGATATGTATGTTTTACGTGTGTAATGTCCGTCATTCCTGAATATGTATGTTTCACGTGTGTAATGTCCGTCAGTCCTGAATATGTATGTTTCACGTGTGTAATGTCCGTCAGTCCTGAATATGTATGTTTCACGTGTGTAATGTCCGTCAGTCCTTGATATGTATGTTTCACTTGTGTAATGTCTGTCAGTCCTGAATATGTATGTTTCACATGTGTAATGTCCGTCATTCCTGGATATGTATGTTTCACGTGTGTAATGTCCGTCAGTCCTTGATATGTATGTTTCACATGTGTAATGTCCGTCCGTCATGGGTATGCAGATTTCATTTGTTTAATGGCCATCATTCCTGGATATGCATGTTTCACGTGTATAATGTCATTCAGTCGAGGATATGCATGCTTCACGTGTTTAATGTCCGTCAGACCTGTGTATGCATGCTTCACGTGTTTAATGTTCGTCAGTCCTTGATATGTTCATGGTCCATAACATATACCGTGTTGATAAGACTATTTGAAAGGCACATTATTGTACATATCATATTTGAAATAAATGAGTTAAGGGTTAGAGGCGTCTGTATCATCGCCGTGGAAGACAACACCTATATCTAAGTTACTACCATGCATCTCATCAGTCTCCTACATTACGGCATCCTACTGCGCTAATTAAATATTGACATTTCAATTCAGCGGGATTCCTTTAATTACCACGTGTTGCACGATTAGAAAAGTCCATGTCCTTCTGCAAGCATGCTTTCTCTCAATAGCAACAACTCGACAAAGCTTCAAACGAGTACCAGGTATTACAACACTGCCGTTCAAAAGTACCGTTATAGGAAAGCCTGGTGTTCAGTTCTGAAATGAAGTGAATATTTAAAGTCACTGAAACAATTACTGCATTAGTTAACGGTGAATGTAATTCGTACACGGTCCAGCACGACAGGTTAACGAATTAGAGGGAATCAGGAGTCAGTAACACTAGAGATCAAGAAAAAATAGTCGGAGTTTAATTTCTGTTGTTTCATACATTTGGTATTCACGTTTAGCAATGTATATTTTAGCAACTGACAAAAGGAAACACACATGTATTTACCCTGATACTTAATATTTGTAAACAAAATTTTCAAAAAAAATAGTATTAAATTCTTTAGAATTATGTACATTATGCAGGAAGTGTTTTTTTTCGTATTTTTTCCTTGTTTGAGACATTTTTTTTCTGATGGGGGAGGGGAAGTGTTTGTGGGGTTTTTTAGGCGGTGGGGGTGGGGATGTGGAATAAAGATATCAACTGAAGGTTTGAGGAATGTTTGAGAAATGAAGAATTTACCAGTTTTTATTTCATTTTTAACAATGCAACACAATTCTTAATAAGAAAACAACATATTTATAGTATTTACATATTTATGATTGAATTAACTGACAGATTCTGTCTGTGTCAGCTTATAATTTTGTAGTATTAGACTTTGTGGTCAGAAAACGCATAACAATAACCCATTATGACGCCTAGCCCACATCGGAATTTCTGGGGAGTTAATCATTAAGGATACAGGACGGGTCCACAGCTTATACGGCACTTGTTTAACTAACTTATTTTCTCTACAGAGAAGGAAAACTTTATTGATCTTCTATACTCAATAGTATTTCAATGTTACAGTGGAAGATTTTTAAGTCTTTGTGTTAAAATGACAGTCGAGCAAAATAAACTTACTTTTCTCCACGAAAGGATCACGTGATAAAGTAGCGTAGTGTGAACACTTAAATATGCAGCGAGGTCGTGCAGATTTTTATTTCGTTTTGCGATTCAGCTTACAGATAAATACATGTCCGTCAGAAACGTTTTAGTGCAAAGAAAAGACAAATAGCATATTCACATCTGTACAAACAAGCGACTGTTGAAGCCCCTCCCTGTTCGTCTGGCGTTTTATTTTTCATGTTTCATCGGTTTTACTGATAACATATATATATATATATTTTATATTGTATAGGCCCGTTTGTCAGGAATCGAATCTCTCGCCGGTGACTGGAGACAAGAGGCAACCATTTTCCCCACGGGGAACTTGACAAATCGTAAGTTTTGTATCTCGGATGTATTAAATTATGATACCACTTAAGAAACAATAGATAGCGAGATATGAATATGATCACTTTATCATATTCATTGCTTATATTGTTTTACATTCATTTGGTTACGTGTACCTTTTAAATATATATATACATATTATCGCATATTCCTTATAATTCATTAAAGTTTTATCACTGATGTAACATGTGGCTATGCTAGTTATGTCTAATATTCCTATTGTATTTTACGCACCAACGAATCAGCATAGAGACTGAAATATTACCAGTACTACAGCAATACATTTTGGTTTAAATACGTGTAACTAAAATCAGGGACAAAGAAATAGGATTTTGATCACTCTAGTAATGTATTTGTGCGTGTGTATTTTGGGTTAGATGAGAATGGGATTTTGATATGCTTTGAGAATTGGAACGAAATCCTTCAAAATTCATATTGAATGAAAATACTCCACGCGCCTTCCATTAATGTATATACGTGTTCTTGACTCATTTAGCTGTAGTTAAATTGAGGTGATTTTATTTCTGTTTTGGATCGAATACCACATACAAGTAAATGATATGACGTGCAACGCATATCATGATAAGATTAGGATTAATATTAAGTGGATTTATTCTACTAATTAAAGTTAAGAAGTTGCGGTTTCTGGAGTTCCTGAGAGAAAATACTATAGCAACCAAATTTTGTATATAGTTAGATACTAGAGAACAAAGCAAATCAGAGCAAAATTGACCATTTTGCTTAATGATCGAGAGGTACAAAATTGGTACAAAATTGGTGAAATCTGAAATTAGAAAGAACTCCTTCATAATATTTTTTCCTGTTTTTATTTTTGTCAACAATTTTCAATAAACATTGTTAATTGTACATACCGGATTTCATTTAGATTTCGCGAATACTTTATTTCGCGAACATACCTCTTCAGACATATTCGCAAATACCTGATTTCGCGAACGCTGATCTAGAAATGACTTTAAATTCGCGAATGATGAACTATGAGAGACCTTAACTCTTTAAGACTCCGATATCGGTAACCAAATCAACATAAATGCCATCAAGAGTTATTTTCGTAAAAAAAACAATTAAGAAGGTTTCGAGTTGGCGATTGACTCTCCTCGCGTGTTGACGCGAAAATAAACCCCACGCGAAATATAAATGTGTTACAGTATATCTACAAATGCTTAGTCATCTAGATGTCGCGAGACGTAATTCCGCGCAATGCCTGGTTTGTCTTTTTTTTTTTTACCTGTATATAAATAAAGAAAATATCAGTCACTTTACATCTGTATGATAATTCAACACCTCCAAACTGATGTCATATAAACAAACACTTTATCTCCTTGTTACAGGTATGTTGACGATCGGTATTCCAACAATTGAACGACAAAAAGGTTCCTACTTTTTCCAGACGTTGGAGTCTCTATTCAATTATACTACAAATGCCGAGTTAACGGATATGTACATTGTTGTCTTCCTTGCTGACTTTAATGATGAATGGAAGAAAAATATGTCCGAAACACTGAAACAGAAGTACCCAAATCATATCCAATCAGGCTTGCTACAGGTCATACAGGCACCACAAACCTTCTACCCTTCGTTAACAAATCTACAACATACCTATAACGACCCAGAAGAGAAACGAAAGTGGCGTTCAAAGCAGAACGCCGATTATGCATTTTTGTTTATGTACAGCCAGCCATTATCGACCTATTACATGCAGCTAGAAGATGACGTTTACACCGTACCTGGGTATATGCAGAGCATTAGTGATCGTATTATAAATGAGTCAGAAGGATGGGTGTGTCTGGAATTTTCGGAATTAGGATTCATAGGAAAATTGTTTCATTCTAAAGATTTGGAAAAATTAGCGAAAATGACTATATTGTTCTATGAAGAACAACCAGTAGATTTCACATACTTGTATTTCAATATATTAATGTTACAATTTCAAAGACGGATAATCCATCCGACGTTGTTTCAACATATTGGTGTACAATCATCACTTCCTGGGAAAATTCAGCCATTAAAAGACAGATTTTTTGATGTCATGAAAAAACAGCTTAATGGAGAAAATCCGCCAGCAAAAGTTTTCACAACCATAGAAACTATGCCAGAATTTCCACCAAATATGGCATATGATTCGATCGATGGTTATTTTTGGACCCACGTGGCACCTAGAAATAAAGACACTATAACAGTTGTGTTCAACACACCGCAGCATATTGACAAAGTAATTATTGATACCGGGTCGAAAGAACACCCGACTGACCGTCTAGAGCATGGCAAGCTAGAAGCCAGTCTTAGTCTGGTCGAAAAAACAGACACACACGCGGTGTGTACAAATGACATTTTTCTTGGAACATTTCAGAATGGAATGGTAAAAGTGACAGATTTAGGGAAAAAACTTGGCCCGTTTACAGTCCAATGTCTTCGTGTGACAGTGACTGAGGATCAAGCATTTTGGCTGATTGTCCGTGAGATAGCCGTGTTTACCAGTAAAACAAAAGACGTTGAAAATAAGCCTCAATAAGCCAATCGATGTCACATACATGTAGTTAGGTCATTAGTATTAATCCTCTCATGTCGTTACTTATGCTTCATCCAATTTTCATCATTGTCCTTACTGCTCTTCTATGATGTTACTTCAGTTGTCTTCATACTTTCAACTCAACCTTGTCCGAAAGGTCCGTCCACTTTTCATGAACTATTTAGTTGATTTTGACATTATTTAGTCTGAAGCATCTTTGTGGGAAGAGCACTCAATTTTGAGTAAACAGTGGGTCTCGGCCTGCAGGTTCTGAGGGAATGAGCTATAAAGTGAGATAATTTCTAATTCTTTTGAGTCTTTTTTCTTCATGTTTGTCCCAATTTGGTCTGAAGCACCCTCGTGTGGAGAGGGCTCACCTCTGTATAAACGAGGGGAGGAAGGGAACGATTCCACAGCGAATGAATGGTAGGTCAGTTAGAATCATAGAGGAAGCTATTTTAAATCTCTTTTCTCTTTAGGATAACGGTAATACTACCAAATATGGTCATGAGTATCATTAGATAAATGGGATGTAAAATAATTCTTTAAATTCACCTTCTAGGATTAATTCGCCACTATGCTTGTAATTTGAATGTTTTGAGGCGATTGCTGATATGTCCAGGTGAATGATAGAAGCTGTAGGTTCTATGGATCTCTTGTTCCTTTAATGCGATATGAACAGAACGTTTATCATTTTTTTTTTTTTAAGATTTTCTACAACAGCGTAACTCCGCCAGTCTTTATTCTTTGGCGAATTGGAATGTTTAGCAAAATGTTGTTTAATAGGTGTGTAATGAGGATTAAATTAACAAATTAACAAACAATGGACTTTGATCGCCAGTAATGATGCGCCAATATCGGATACAGTATAAAAAATACTGGCTTACCGTTTACCAGCCAATCACACTAAAGTCTTCACATTTTTTTCTGAATTTGTCGTCAAAGGGATTCACATTATTAGTACGCACCAACAACATAATCTGGAGTAAAAATACAAATATGTTTCGTACCCTACAAAACTTAACTTATACAGACAACAATCTAACCGGTAGGTGGAACTTACTCTGTCCCATCTGTGGTCTCATTAAATCTTCTTTGTATGACCATCTATTTGTCTCGATGTCCTAAGTTTCCTCATAGGGTTCTTGGTTACTAGGGTAGAGTCCCTTTTTGGCTTGCGAAGATGCGACTTTTAAAAGTGGATGTTTTACTGCTCGAGGTTTGTTGTAATACTGCGCGTTGGGCCATGATTCCGGAAGAGGTTTTAAATCTTCCTTTTGGGATATCGTTTCCTCTGCAACAAAAACACACTACTTTTCCACAGCGCCATGCTCTGTACAAGAAACATGTTATATAAGTTCATAAATGATAAGTCACAGGGAAGACTCGATATGTGTTTTTATGACTATTTCGATGACTGCAAGCGCAATCCCCACTAAAAAACATGGAACATTATGTATTCGGATTCGTTTGTATATAATGAGCTCATTAAAACTATTTAAAGTGTCTTAAACAGAATGAATTTGCCTTTGATAATGAAAATACTTTGCCTTGATCATGAAGAAATCGTGAGGGATACGAGATGTATAATTTATCAACAAATTTTGATACGTCATTTTTCTTCAGCTAAAGTACACTGATAGTAATGATCCTTCAAAAATCATTTCATGCAGTGTAAAAATGCTCTCATTGTTTCGTAATTTCTGAAAGAATGCAACATTGCAAACATGAGGATTTCCAACTCTATATTACCGATGTACACTATTTATGTGTGACGCTTTTGTACAAAAGGTATTCTGAAAAAAAGCACAGAGCTAAACTTTGAATTACAAGTTGTAGATGTATTTTCCTGAATCTTCGTGAATTGTGCATGCCTTCAAACCAGTCCCTGATTTTGTTATTGTGCTGGTCTAAAGTGGCGAGAAATGGATAAAGAACGACTACAATAACGTCTACGTCAAATCCCATTGGTTGTTATGCTCTAACGTGACGTGACGTTGATTGAATATGGATTATTTACATCAGCCACAGAGATGATTTACCGAAATGCGTCCTCCGCCGACACCGTCCCACCAAGCTTGAAGTGCTAGTGATTAGTGGTGTAGGAGAAAGTTTTACTTTGATGTAGGTCAAAGGACTAAGATCGATGATATTTGATAAACGACACACCGCCTTAGCAACGTGAAACTATATTCCAAGTATGGCGTTCCAGTGAGAAGAAGCTTTCATGCAGTTCAGAAATCAGAATGTAGGCCAGATTGGCCTACGTTGATGTGAGACACACAATCTCAGCGTGGTAGACCTATACTAAAGTATGAAGATCCAGTAACGGGTAGTGTAGAAGATTGGGCTTGGGTAATCTATTTTTATGTAGGTCAAAGGTCTGAATGTAGGTCAGATGGACCTACCTTGATATGAGACACAAAATCTCAGCGTGGTAGACCTATTCCAAAGTATGAAGATCCAGTAACTGGTAGTGTCGGAGATTGGGCTTGGACAATCTATTTTTATGTAGGTCACAGGTGTGAATGTAGATCAGAGTGATATTTTTTATATGCGACACATCAGCTCACCAAAGTGAAAGAATATCCAAATTATAAATTTCCTGTGATTAATTTGTAGAAGACAGGACCTGAACAAGATAGCGGAAGGACGGACACAATACAAAATTTGAAGTCCTTTCCCGCTGGGGGACTTCTAGCCAGATAGTTATGTCACATACAATGGAAAAGTGATCGTTGCAGATAATCCTACATCCTTGATACAAATAACAATGCTGATGTAGCAATGTAACGCAGTAGTCCGAGATAATTTGATCGATTTCGATATTGCAATCAATAGATCCCCCAAAGAAATGATGTCTTACACCAAGTGGTACCATACACGTGCATTTGATCCGACAATCGTTTTCCCATTGTGCATTCCTCAGTGAAGATTCCGGAAGTTTCAACACTCGTTGGGTGAATTTGTAATTCAGCATGGCTTCTCGTGCGAGATTATGTAACAAAAACAGATGATGAGACAATAGCAAAATCTACATATTTTAAAGGATTTGGGTAATAAACCATGTCTTGTAAATGTCACTCCAATGTATATACAGAGCATTACATATGTATCTACTCTTGTCGATGTTTTCATGAGGATATACGGTAGATAGTTACAATAGCACTTTCTATATATAGTAATCTCTACTGTGGTCAATCTCTTCACAATAACCCATATTCTTTACGTCTTGATGAATCTACAACTGCCCCGGGTGCTTGACGAGGTTATTGGATGTGTCGTGGTGTCTGATCAACATGCGGTAAAAAAAAACATCCATCCATGATAGGCAAATTATCAGGTCCCTCTCACCCTTTAGATATAGTGGACACTGTTTAATGATTTTTTTTTCTCTTCAGTTTGTTTATGTGTATGTACTCAGGCGGATCCACTTTCGTGAAAAATGGGGAAATCAAAAAACAAGTTTCAATCGACTAAGAAGATGAAACTCACTTAACACAGGAAGGCCTACGACTAGACCTTTTTTTCTTTTTTTTTTTTAACCTTTACGTATGAAAAGTGATCTCGAGTAAGATAGTGTTGACCCATGTTATCACAAAAATGTATCTGAAAAAGACTAGTTTTCAAAATCACCGCTTGGATGGCACTAGGCGCGGTCCATATATTGTTTCTTTTTATAGGCCAGCAGTTCCGAAGTCATCGACTTCAGATATTACAAAACAACGTCTGAATTCAAACTACAATATATATAAGACCAAAAGCAACTTGACCGGTATCAGATCGGTACAGCCAATCATTTGTAGGCATGATAAAACACTGATGCTGAACCGTACACCACAATTATGTGTGTAGTTTTCAGATAAAAAAAAAATATTTAAAATACATAAACTGCAATAGGGACCTTTTTTCATAAAATTGAGTCGTAACCTAGAAGTATTTCTGTACAATCCGACACGACACACAAACGTATATAAGAAATTGAACATTCCAAGCTCAATAGTGATGGGTCACATATCACCGTAACTGTAAATTCCACACCATTTTTCTTTAAGAAAATAATAAGAAAACTATATAAATAAAATGAATTATATTTTATCATATTGAAGATTGTACAAAAGACACGCTAGTGAATAGCACCTTTGAAAACAAATTTAGTTAGACACAGTAGAGTCAAACAATGATTTCAAGTGCACTACACAGCCACTTCGTTCTTCTAGAATTCGTCAATGATGCTAAATGCTTGAATTCTGAAGTCTATATAAACTTCATCCATATTCAGTTATAATCTGTTTTAGAATTTAATTCATTTTCAGAAGTACACGTCGTTGTACCTGTGTTTACAATCAAAATGTTGCGATTTTTTAAAATTAATACATATATATCGATTTGAAGACAAACAACTGTTTATTAGTATATTTTAATTCAATGTTTAAATCAATAAAATAAAACCTTAAGTTATTTGTAGAGAAGACAAAGCAGAATTATTTCCCTTTTTGTAACTCTTGTGAAGGACAATCTACAAGAATGTAGATTTGCCTCCCTCCTCATGTAAAATTATGCTGGACTTCAACAGATCATAAGAACTATATAACAAATAAAAATGAAAAAAAAGACGTTAAGATTTAAAAATATATGACACAGTAAACTGTACATTTGATTGAATCTAGCAGAACATGTGGACACAGAAACAGACATTTTTAGTTTTAGTAACAAATGTAAGGGAGGATTGATATTAAATCAAGGTCTGATCTATTACATGATCCCTGTGTAAAAGTGATATCAAATTCTCACTTCTTTCAAGAAAGTATTCAAGTATGAAGTCATCACAATCAATGCTGAAATTATGTCATATTCTTAACCCCGTCGCACAAAATTCAAACAATTGTCAGTGATTTTCATAAAATGATAAAAATTATGACATGGACAGAGTCATAACCTGTTAATGCATATTACAACATGGAATTCACGTGATGAAAATTGGCAAAAATAACACTAATTAACATGAACACAGTTTGATTATCAGTAATTGCGCAAACGATTAGATGAAAATACAAAATATACACATTAAGCAAATTTAAAAAAATACAATGTATATGTTTTTGTGGAATGTTTAAGTTTATTGTAGTAGATATATATAAGTATATATAATATACAAATATACATACAGTGTATATATATATAATATATATAATATATACATATATAATATATATATATACATACACAGTGTATAATATATATATATATATATATATATATATAATATATATACATACACAGTGTATAATATATAATATATATATATACATATATAATATACATATATACATACACAGTGTATAATATATAATATATACATATACATATATAATATACATATATACATACACAGTGTATAATATATAATATATACATATATGTACGTTTTAATATCTAACATTGTTTTCTATTACTTAGTGTAGTTTCAAATGTCTATCATAATAATTCATCTAAATAAAAATTTCTGTCTATTTTATTGCTGAATGTAGTAACATATCTGCAAAATGAGTCGATAAAATCTTAGCTGAAACAGACTATAAGTAAACATCAAAGGACTTTCAATATACATTTCTGTAAACAACTTCCTTTTAATTTTCCAGAGTTGGTGTTCTAGGAATGACAATGTTGTGGAAAATAATTCCATATTTGGTATATCCTAAAGTTAACTGTAAACTAATGGTGCTATGGAGATTAATATAAAAAAAATAACATTTTCTGAATGAAAAGCTTAAAAAACATATACAAAATCCAATATCATTTAGTTAAAAAGACTTCTAAAGCCATATTAATATATATTTATTTGATTTAATAATAGTATCGTAGTTAAATTTGTCTTCTTGTACTGTTTATTTCTTAAATCAAGTTCTCACTAACTGCAGATGTATCTTAAGTGGTCAAATAAGCAATTTTCCATATTTTCTGGTCCCATGGATGCCATCTTAAATACAGATTCTCACGACTACAAAAACCAAACGGATATAAAAAACTGCAATTAGATTGTGGTTTAAATGAACTTTTGAGTATACTGACTGAAAGCCAGTAACAGAATGCAGAGAAGCTGGTATAATCCAGCATACCTTGTTTATTTATAGGTACAAAATATATTTCCAAACTGATAAATTTTACAGCTGTCATGTATCATTGAAAATGTCAAAAATATTCACTCACATACATAATTATCTGGGAATAAGCCCACGTCTTGTAATAAGCCCATCCCATAAGACCATATTGCTGCCCTGATTTTCAGTAAGAATTAAAGGTGTTGATACCATGGGCTGTAGGATAAACACAAAACATTATCAAAATCAAACCCTGCACCCCTCGGTGAATGGCAAGTGCATTACTACTGCACCACCCAACTGACCTCTTCATCTGACCACAGTTCAGGTATTTAGGTTCCTTACAAGTGAAGATGTCAAGGGTCATGGAGAAAAATATCCAATAAAACAGCATAGAAGGATCACAAACTGTCATTGACAGGTCAGGGATACTAACTGAAAGGTCACTACACATACCACTGACTGATAAGAGGACAAAGAAGAGAATTCACAGATCATGGATACTAAATGACTTGGTGTTGAAAATAAAATTGAATAAAATTACAACAATTATGAAAAAAGGTCAATATAGCTTACATTAATCACTCTTGTGGATTGCAGTGGGAGAAGATAGCACCCATACTTCCTGATGTATGATAAGCGACATGAACCTTGGTCACCTTTGAAAAAAGGCCAGTGCATAACCACATGGTCAATCAACAACCCAGTGGTTGATGTACAAATATCAGCATGACTGACAGATCAAGAATAATGAATTTTAACTGACCGGTCAAATTTCAATGCAAAAAGAACAGAGGGTCAAGTATCACATTATAAAAGTCATACAAGGGCAAGGATCAGAGTAGTAAGTTGGGGCTGCAGTGGCTGAGTAGTTAAAGCATACATGCACTCTGACTGTCTCTATCACAAACCCTCCACCTGTGGGTTGCAAGTTCAAGGCCTATTCAGGGCAGTCACCAGGTAATGGTCTCAGGTCAATGGTTTTTCTCCGAGAACTCACGACTTTTCTTCATCATCCAAGCATGGCACGTCCTTAAATGATCCTGGCTGTTAATATGATTTAAAGCAAAAATAAAATACACTAATAGCAGTAAGGCCAACACAAACAGTGATGGACTAGAGGTCAAAACAGAACTAAGAAAGGAGAAGTATCACAACAGAAACGTCACACAAGGACAGGTCAGGGGTCACAAAAGAACCAATGAAAGTTAAGTGTTACAAAGGTCACACATCAACATCTACAATGACAGGTCAGGGGTCACAAAAGAACCAATGAAAGTTAAGTGTTACAAAGGTCACACATCATGATCTACAATGAAGGTCAGGGGTCACAATGAACCAATTATAGTAAGATATAACAAAAATAAGGTCACAGAGATTGAACATCCTGATCACCATTGACAAGTCACAGCAACAATGTCCCACATTATCAATGACATTCTGGATCTAAAGTAAATATCATTAATCTTCACTGACAGGTCAAATGTCATGGTGTAGAAAGGTCACATCACCACCAGGTCAGAAGTCACAGCAGGTGATGATACCTTAAAAAGTTAGAATTTATAGCTATGTATGTGTGCATGTATGTGTGTAAATCTACTTTCTCTGGTTATTCTTCCCTTGTGTATGAATTTGATGGAAGAATAAATGGTGGATGAGTAAATGTGATAAAAATGAACTAGTGAAAGTGTGAAATGCTCCATGATGTAAGGGGGAGATGAATTCAGGGTCCCAACCTTGGTATCCCTCCAAATCATTTTCTCAGAGTTAAAAAAATACAATTTGAAACCCTAAAAAAGAAAGAAAAAAGAATAAGAAAAAAGAATCAGGTCACGCATTCCAATGTGATCTCAGAATAAAGATTGAAAATCATGAACACCAATGACAGTTCACAGTTGCACATTATCAATGACACATCCCGGTTCCAACGTAAATCTCCTCCATCTTCACTGAAGGGTCAAATGCTATGGTCACATCAAGGTCACATCACCAATGACAGGTCAGAGGTCATAGCAGGTGGCGATACCTTGGGTTGATGTCCAATCGACACTCTGGACATGGGTACTCTTTAGTTAGGAAAGGATCATACCTGTTAAGATTTAAATACAAAGTTTTCCATTAGAAAACTTTTTTGCACAAAGCATAGCAATAAGTAAACACACACATCAAGAAAAACCCATGATTGATAGATGACAAATGACTTTCTTGAGTAATTTATAAGATTAATTAATAAGTCTAACTTGAGATATTTCTTTGGAAAGTATTTGTCGTGTCCATACCACATGTCAACATATGTATGGAGAGCTCATGTAATATGAGGGAAAGAATAGGGACAAAAAAAAACAGGGGTGGAAAGGGTAAGGTAAGAAGGGAATTGCTTCAAATATTTTTCTCTCAGAAACTTTCCAAAGAAAATGTATAGACTTTTGTATCAGAAAAGCACAGGCCAACATATATTACTATGTTTAGAACCAAGACATCATATCTGAGTATGTGATACTTTCAAACAATCACTTGTGAATAAAATGTGGCAATCTAATTTTAGAAAGTGCTACATTATGACATTCAGAAGGAAAATAATCAAATAGTAAACTACGAGGAATAACCTTGAATAAAAATTTATGAAATCTGGCTTTTACCCCGAGTTATTTACAAACATTTCAATTAACCTAATTTCCCTTTATGTTATTATTAAGACTGACCAGAAGTTCACTGCAAGGTTATGTCCAGCTGTTCCGTTAGGGGATGACTGGACCTCGTGCCACCAGAAACTTGGCATGAAAAGAACATCTCCTTCCTTTAATGTGCAGTTCAGAGGCATGGCCGATCGGAATCGTGGAAACTTCTGAAAGTTACAGGAGGGGTATCTGGTTTATGAAATTTCAAGCATATTCTGAATGGCAGACCAAATGATCATTTCAATTGTTAAAGCTATCACCTATCAGAAATTCATTTTGTATCTGACATGATAGAATTATGTACTGAATACTACAATAAATGATCATCAACATTTATATTCAATTTTTTTTTTTAAACCTTGCATTTCCCAATACAATGGCAATTGATTGGTTTTTGAAATCAGAATCTAACCAATAGAGACAAAACCTGTCATTTCACCTTCACAATACTACTCAAATTTTTTCATTGTTATCAAAGAGATGTTAGATGTTTTCTTTCAGTTTTCTAAATAATCAACATTAATAATCTGTATGATAACAAGTACTTTTGCTATGACATTCCAAGGGTACATAAAATATGTATTTTTAAATCAATTTTCAAAAGTGACTCTTGGATTCATAGCTTATGCAAGTTATATAATCATAATTCGAGTTACCTCCCTTTGAATTTAAAAGAAAACATATTGTACAACCTCAAAATCTGGTTTCAGAATGTCAACAGGGGACATAACCATGGATGTACTGTCCACAAGGTTGCTCCGGCGGAATTCTTTTGTTGTTTCGTTGTAAGAGAGAACTGCTTCTTGTATGTGGGCCTCATAGAGATTCTCATTTTGATGTGGCTCAAACAGTATCACTTGTTTCTGTCCATGAACCTGTCAACAAAAAAGTGCTAACATTTATTGCTCGCATTAATAAATGTACTTTTTAAATGATCATACATCTTTGATAGATTTGGTATTCTAAAAATGAAATACACAAGCAAAGTAAATTTTTTTAATAAAGCATGTCGGTATTAAGGAACAATTTTTTCTTTTTTAATGATTTAATGTTGTTATTTTGTCAAATTTTACCAGAACAATATCACATTATTTTTAAGTTCATATCAATGAATGTTTCACACATTGTGAGGATCTCTACTGAACACATCAATATACCCTTGAAAGAATATTAATCACTTTATTCACTACATGGAAATTTAGAAGTATAAATTCTTCTTACCTTCCTTTTAAATTCAAAATGAAACAGTTTAATCAAGAAGCCTAACAGTATATTCTATTGGCTGACTGATCACTTCATGTCGTTGATTTGATTTAAACATATTTATTGCCCCAAAATTGAGCAGAGGACTAGGCATGTGTTATTTCAACTTATAACTGCCTCTTATACAATACATGATAATATTAACATGATAACATTAACAAGGCATACATAATATATTTAACAGTTAGTACATTTTACTGAAAATCTGTTGCTGGATTTGATAAAAATTTGCACGTGTCTGAATACTTCTGTATTGGTAGTTAGGGAGAGATTTTCATTTCCAAATAAAAATAGATGTAAATTCACTTGATCTATATTCAACATGTTTATACTTTGAAAAAGTGTTATTCTTACTCTGTTATAAAGCTTACATTCTGGGAAAAAATGACCAACGTCCTCACAGTAATGTCCACAAGCAGACGATGGGTTATCAACAATCTTAACACGGAACAAATCACTTTTCAAAAAGCTGCACTGATGTCTGAGACTCGTATGTAATATATTATATCTCACCTGGCAAAGAAAATTATCATATGGATCAAAATGAAGTTTTCCTAGGGTGTTTCCATCACTCAGCCATATGTTCAAATGTTCCAGTTTATGGACCCTTGGATTGACAAAGGGCATTTCTCTGATGTCATCCTCTAATTCTGGCAGATGCTGAGGGATTGATGAATATTCTAAATATGCTGACACATTTTTCAAGTCTCCTCTGGTTACTTTTTCAATTGTATCCAAAAACTCTGAAAACTTCAAATTTAAAGACGCTGGTCTTACAACAACTAATTCTGAATGATGCAATTGAACGATAACTTCAGGTGGGATGGAGAAAGTATTGAAATTATCCCATAGATCGGCTTGTTCCACTCCTTCAAATTCTCCTTTTGGTGTCAATTTTATGTAGACATCACGATTTCCATATTCTTTTTTGAAAAAATTGTTTGTCCACTTCTGAAATGCAGGCCATGTTTTAGTCATTTTTTCTATAATTACAGGTTTTGAAATTTTTAAGTATTCGTGGAAAAATTGTTCTTTAGTTGGTTCACTAATCCTTTCACATTGTGGTATATCTTCGTGTTTATAAAATTGTTTATCATTAAAATCCTTCTTGTCACATTTCCCATCTTCATGAATAAAACAGGAATTGTCTTCATGTATATCTTTATTATTTTGCATCTTTTCTTGGTTGTGCAGTGCTTCTTCAGAAATATCTGCTGGAGTATTATGCGAGTCCATCATTTTGCCCATAGTTACACGTGACACCTGAGCTACAGAGAAAAGTGTATTTAATATTTCCTTTCTATGGTGACCTTCTATACTGAGTCCTCCATCAGGTGACCTGTATGTGTGACAATGAGTGTTAATAAAGTCAATCAAACTTGCTTGACTTAAAAAACCAGAATAGAAGATTGGACGAAGAGATGACGGATTTTTTCTCATAAGCAAACAAGTCCTGTCCGCAATTCTCCTTTCAAAAATAATTATTTCTGATTTACTCTTAGTAGAGTCTTCAGATAAAGTCTTTCCGCCTGGCCATACAAATGTAGTTGTTTCAATTAAACCAAACTGCACAAGCGGTTCATTCACGAACGTTTTGATGGCCAGGTTGTCAAATAAATCTGACGTGTCCATGTTTGAAAACTCTGTCAGTAATACTAAGCAGGTGTTGTCAACGGACGATAAAATGTCATTTGGTGTGAAAATATCGTGGCTATCAATAGAAGCGATTGCAATGTTGCAAAATAGTGAAAAAAGTAAGTAACAGTATATCTTTGAGGTGCATCTGGACCGGTCAAACAAGGAAGCAGCCATGTTGGGTAAGGGGACGTCACTCCGAAGAACTTGACTAAAGGGACGTTACTGTAGTCTGTATGGCATTCCACTACTTGAGTCATCAGGTGTTGGTCTGTTCAGATCGCTCTGCGTCCGTGGTCCGTCCGTCCGTCAACATTATTTGTTAGCACTATTTCTTAAGAAGTACTAAATGAATATCTCTCAAATTTCATACGTATGTTCCCTTTGATTGTTCCTTGTGCTCGTTTCTTGGACAGTATTGACCTTCTGTCTACTCGAAAATATTTTTATCGTAAAATTACATGTCTAAAAACCCTTTTTGAAACTGTTGAGATTTGTAAAATTCTACATTACCTGAAAGTTGTTGGTCTATATAATAGACTATGACGTAATATTTTAATCTTTTATGTTAACATACCAATTTAAGTTTTTTGCATTTGTCTTTCACCTTTTGGTTTGTTTAATGTTATTTCCTTTTGGATCACAGCATGTTTTACTGGTTGATGGCGCTTGTGAGCTTTTATGTGTTGACCGACATTGTACTCAAAAAAAGACACATTGTTCATCCACGTATTAAGTTACAGTACATTCACAACGAGAGCCCAAATCCTATTTTAGATATTTGATTAAATATTCTTTAAAATATGTTAAACACATCGCCATTATCTGGAGTACAGTGTCGAACCAACATGGCATGAGCTACATATATCACTGAACTACATAACGTATGTAGGATACCAAATTTTTCATGTAATACCTCCATTGTGGATTCTCTTTATTCTTGACATAAAACTCGTAAGACATTTTTCTTTCAAAATTATATATTTTCATGTTATCTGATTCGATCAGTTAGTAGTCATTTTGTTGGGCTGCAATATCCTTTGAGTCAATTCGTTCATCCTAGCTAAATGCGCTCTTCTTGTAGAGTTTTCGGTGTAAAGGACATGGGAAGTAACTCTGAAACTGTGACCACCTTTATGGTCTTGTCCGGCTTGGCCAGGTATAATGGCATATCCAAGTTGAACTAAACAAACAGAAAAGTTACATCAACAATATCGTTCCATATTAACATATATAAATACGAAATCAGACATCTTACAAGCATTAGGCGTCATACATACATGTTTCACTTGTCGTGTTTTTCTTTTTTCTGAACTGCTTATAAACGTAAAAAAATAAACAAGACCTGAACTGTTAATTTCTTTGGTTTGGACCAGGTGAACATTTTATATTTTCCCGTGGTCAATATTTCGACCCTTGTTTTCTTACCTCTGCAAATACCTGTCTACAAGCACCACACGATCCCTTGAAGTCTCCCTTCACGTCACTGGGAAAACACAAATATATACAACATACAAAACCATTGTTTGATCTGCATTTGTTCTTTAAAAGTTGGATATTATCCCTTTATATCGTCTTCTGTCTGCTCATTTACTCCTAAATTTGAGAATTCCCGTAAGAAATAGCAATGATATTTTTAACTGTCAAATTAAAGAAGGCCGCCCGTTACTGTCAACCATCTTGTTTTTCTTATCAGTACCAAAATACGCAACCAGGTACCAAGAGGAACCGACATAAAAATGATAGTGATGCACGAGGACCTGCACTAGACTAAAAACAATAAAAACAAAAACAAAACAAAAAGTAAATAAAAAAATACCATAATGTCAACAGGCCAGTTATAGGCAATATCTAATCATTCCTACAGGGGGCGTATGGTATTTTCCCTATTGGGCCCTGCACCTTCCGCTCCCGGAGGCCGAGACCCACACATAATACAAATCCGATTCTCACAGGATGGTTCAGACCAAATTTGGGCAAATTCAATCACTCCTATAGGAGGAGCAGAATTCCAAAGAACTCGCTCTGTTTTCATTATAGGCCCCGCCTCTCCCACTCTAGGGGTCCGAAACCTATCTTTTATACAACATTCCCACAGGAGTAGTAGGATTTTAAAGAATTTGCTATATTTCCCCTATTGCGCCCCTTCGGGCCGGGTGTAATAATTTGTGAAAGTCCCCCTTTTTAAACAGATTTATCTCTGTCACCTCTACTCCTTGTTCAATGAAATATCTTCCAAACAAAATAAGTATGTCAATCAGACATTCTGTAGAAATGATGTGCGGACAGGCACTGGGTCATGACAGAAGATCGGGGGCTGACATTAACGGCAACGTGTACTTCATTGTAATACAATAATATAATAAAGTCACACAGATCTTAAGTATGCAAATTGGGTTGATAAAGAAATTTATTGAGAAAATACCATGATATGGCAACGCCTTTAAAGTCTTTGTGACCCTGGGCCACGGCGTTCCACACCGCTACCCTTTCTGCGCAGACACTAAGGCCATAGGATGCATTTTCCACGTTCACGCCTGTTGAGCAAGTAAGACAAACATAAACAATGGTCGCTTGTAAAACTTCCTGTTGTTCATAGAAGTTCATTTAGCTGTGTGAGATTCACTTCAAAACATTTCAATGACTCTGAAACTTCAAAAGTCTCCAAAATGAAGACGATTTTCTGTCATCCTACACATTGTATTTGAAGTTTGTATTGCTAGCTAAGTAACGGAATAGAATGAAATTATATTGTTTTTTTTTTTTTTTTTTTGTATTTGTTTTATTTTTCATAAGCATTTATTACATAATATAATTAGTGCACAAAATCTTTCTACATATTATTAATATAAAGAGTGGCGTCATCATCAATATCACCATCATCATATGTACACACATACATACACATACAACTATACATCATCATGACCAATTCTTACATACATCATCATCATCATTATTACATTATCATCCTCATCATAATGGCCAATTCATCATCATCATCATCATCATCATTTCATCATCATCATTACATCATACATCATACATCATCATCCTGGCCAATTCTTACGTCTATCATCGTCATCACCATCATCATCATCATTACATCATCATCATCATCATGGCCAATTATATTACTGTTATCATAATACGATGTTCAGGCATAACAAGGAAGTGTTCGCCATTTTCTGTTAAATACGTTTTGTATATAAAAAGTGACCCTATTCTGAGGAGACACAGACTTCGCTACATACAGTGACGCTTCAATTAACATGGTTTGTCCATAACCAGAAAGTATCCGTAATGGAAAAGGGGTCTTCCCTGAACTCCAACTCTGCCTACGACAACATGTTTACATAGGAGGTCAGTTGTGATGAAAGTATGTTATAGTCTGGTGCAGAATTGTTGTACAGGTAACTTGTACAGGTAAATCAGATAACAAGTTCTGATAACTGTTCAGAAAACTGTGAATAACTGTAAAATAAAGGAATCAAATATGTTTGTTAAATCTGTTCCAATCCCAAGCTGTTCAATGGGAAATGTATAAAGTCTCAGCACATTTTGGAGAATTTTCGTATTTCAATCTGCACTTTGAAGCATCAATTTCTCATTGCTTGATTTATTACTGAACTTTTGTCACACATATAATGATTAATCTTGTACCTAGTGTCAGCTTAGTGCCAAGTGTGTTTAATTTGAGTGATATTATTATCTGTGTGGTTTGATACATGTACAGGATGGCTTACGCTCAGATCAACGTTAAGCGATTCATCTACAGACAGATTTGAAGGCATGACAACAGGACATTCTGGAGATATTCAAACTCAGTTCACCCCAACATCTACACCATCATACAATCGCTTAAGTACACACAGAGCATGAGTGACATCAGCTTGATTCAGAGAGATGCGAATGTACCATTCAACCCCGGAAGAAGAAATACGCCAACATTGACAGACGCCTGGCCACCTTGAAGGACCGTTATCAGACTGGGACGATCGACCCGATGACCTATGCTGATTCAGCATCCGAGCTTCTCCATCTTGGATTAGAGTGTTTTGTGTTTTCTAGTAGAGACTTATCTAGTACTTGACTATCAAAGGCTGCGAAAGGACATAACATCTAGATAAAGTGGATAATGTATTGTCATAGATAAACGAGTCAGTGATAATTCAGCTTCATTTAGGGGTTTACTGTTTATTTAAAATAATATTTTATTTTAGTGCTTAAATGTGCATATTGTTACAGGTTTATTTAAAATAATATTTTATTTTAGTGCTTAAATGTGCATATTGTTACAGGTATAAATATAAATTCAATTTAATTGCTTACATCAGTTTATAAATGTAACTTGATGATTTTTATTTATTAATTTCACATTAACTTACATGATAATAATTAAATAATTAATAATAATATTAAATATTAATATCTAATAACTATTTTATAATACTTTTTATATGCTAAACTTGTGTTACAATCATGTAAAACAGATAAAAACTTTATCTATTTCCTTATTGATATGTAAGTATCCTATTTACAAAATAAGTTGACAAAAGGGTTAAATTTTGGGACACTTAAAAGAGCAGTTTTACTGAAATGGCATTACCCTCTCTAACAGTACTGTTGGTCAGTGTTTGATGACGTAATTTATTACGGTGCAGTTCTACGACCGGATGGCAAGGTGGCATTATGTTAAGGTACCACTGCTGTTTCGGGATGATACTTGATATTTCGGAATCGTCCTCTCAAAACACAAATGCGAATCATTGTAAAAAAAATTGTAGCAATCTTTGAAATTAATTTATAATATAACGCTCATCAGTTTTATCAGCTTTAATGATTGGTACAAATACCCCTGTAGTGTAATGAGACCGAGTGGGATGCTCAGCTACCGTGTCAAAGTTATGACATTTCAGTGTGGTAGCACTATAGAAACATCCCTCAGTAATTCAATTATCCGAGGTGACATGTATCTTCTCAAATAAACAACCCTACCGGTGACAATAGATCCATCAGCACAGAGGACTGCTGAGCCGACCCGGAAATTGCTGTACGGACAGTAAGCTCTGTCCTTGGCTTCGACCGCTGCGGAAACCAGTGACTGTATTTCTGTATCTGTGGAGATAAAACAACAAAATGATACCAGGTTTAATGAAAAAAAATATCTTGATAAGTTTGTAACTCACTGAACGGAACCCATATGTATCTGGTGATATATTTTTTCCGGGTTATTTTTTAAAGGGAATAATTGTTTTACATTGTAACTATGTAACTTGGTACAAACAACACAAATGTACGGTAATATAATTATGTTACCAAACTTTGTAAGCCTTGTGTATCTTTAAAAGAATGGTATATTTGAACGTGTCTTTTGGTGAAAATAGTTCCTGGAAAGTGAATGCTTTTCCCCAAAAAGAGGAGAAAGTTGTTTCACTTTCTCATAACTGACAAGGGAATTGACATATTATTTAAAAAAAAAAACCGGAAGAATGAAAACATTAATGGTATAGTTATGACCGACTTAATCATTACTAACTTATTATCTCCCTTTTCCTTACATGTTTGTTACCACAGTCACTTTTCATGGTCATGTAATCCTTGCGTGGGTCCTGATGCCCATACACATGTGTTAAACAGCTTGAGGCCTCCGAAGGGGATTAGCGTATGTGTATTGGTCATTAATGACCTCCAGTGGCCTATATATTGACTTTTGCCCTACTTTACATCACATCCTTATTGATAGATCTTGATCTCTTACTTAACCTGAGGCATTTCGTGGCCTATAAATTAATCTTTAACCTAACTTTACATTGAAATTTTATATCCCCTTACTGGTAAATAAATAATGTTAGAATTTAACAAATACTTGATCATTCTGAAGAGGTAACATTAAATTTGATACTCAGAATTTCTTTAACTGATACTTTTTCTAAGCGCTCCTTATACTTTTTTACAATAGTATTTGAAAAAAAAACAGCAGGGGTTCCTCAAGGTTCCATTCTTGGACCACTTTTGTTTCTTATATACATAAATGATATTGCCGATGTGCTTGAATCATCTGCTCGCCTTTTTGCAGACGACACTTCTTTATTAAAGTCTTCCTCATCATGTCTTGAAATCCAAACTGTCTTAAATAGGGATCTTGATTCTTTAAACGTTTGGGCTAAAACTTGGTTGGTTACTTTCAATCCAGATAAAACTGAGGTAATATTTGTTTCTAATTCGATTGACATAGATGATGATTTAGACCTGAAGTTAGATGGGAAAGATTTGAATTTTACTGATCATCATAGGCATTTGGGGGTAATTTTTAATTCTAGCGCAAAATGGGGGGATCATATCATTGCTACATATATGTCTGTTATGAAGAAAATCAATGTTTTAAGAAGGTTGAAATATTTGTTAAATAGAAATAGTCTCCTAAAAATTTACAAAGCTTTTATTTTACCAATTTTAGAGTATGCGTGTGAATTGTGGGACGGTTGCACTAATACTGAATCAGATAAATTAGAGAAAGCCCAAAGAGAAGCTGCTCGTATTATAACTGGCCTTCCTTCTTATGCACGTATAGAAAATTTACATTTTGAAACTGGTTTAGATACACTTTCGAATCGTCGAAAACGAAGAAAACTTCAACTTTTATTTAAAATGCATAACAAGCTAACTCCAGATTATTTAAACGATCTCTTGCCACCTATTGTTGCAGATAATAACCGATACAATCTTAGAAATAACAATGATTATAGAGTTCCTCTATTTGGGCTTTCTCTTACAAACCTCTCTTTTATACCTTCTACACTTCGTAGCTGGAATTTGTTAGATTTCTCTGTACGGTCACTGCCTTCCATAAATTTGTTTAAAACCTCTCTTACTTTAAATACACAACAATCCCCACCTATCTATTTTAGTTATGGTGAACGGAAGTTAAACATAATACATACTAAACTTAGACACAGTTGTAGTTCCCTTAAATACGATCTTTATCGAGTAAATCTTGCTGAAAATCCAGTGTGCTCCTGTGGACATCCTTGTGAGAATGCCTTTCACTTCTTCTTCGAGTGTCAAACTTTCAGAAATGAAAGACACATTTTGTTTCAAAATTTGGCTGAGTTAGAAGTAGATTTGAATTTAGAGCTTCTTTTATTTGGTAATAACGATCTTTCTGAGGACCTAAACTATTTTGTCTTTACACATGTGCAAAATTTCATTAAATCCAGCAAAAGGTTTTAAAAGATTCTTATACGATGACGTATTTATGTCTGTGTGTGAATGCTTAATATGTATAATTTATGTTTAAGCCTATCTCTTTATAAACATGTATTTGAAAATGTATGTTGGGAGAGGGCTCCAATAAGTTGTAATAACTTGTGCCCAATTCCCTTGTTCAAATTTATTTTGGCAATAAAATATGTTTAAACTAAAACTAAAAAAAAACATTTTTTTGTATATCTAGTTTGTTAAAATATGCAATTATATCAAATGTAACTCTCCAGCACTTATAATTTAAATACACCAATAATTTAGATAGGGGCGAGATGTGTAGTGAACTTTGATCGACAGCAATTTATTTTCCACGTGAGAGGTGTCAACATTTCGAGAAACAAGAAGGGATCTATTTCACACGTGCTATAACTACCTCTCGTAAGTAAATGTCACACAATAATCTATGCAGGGGAATCGCTATGTATAGAAGTGTTAAAGGTGTCACGTGGTTATTTGTATTATATCAGATAACGTTCGGTCTTCTGTGTAGTCTTCTGCACTTTGATATCTCGACGAGTCGTCCACTCAGAACTACTGCCTTACTTAATTTGTAGCAGTGCCGTCTACTGTGTGCTGTCGTAATTATATCAAGCGGAAGTGAGCATCCGACGTCACTTCTGTATTCCATGATCAAGCATGTATCTGTTGTTTATCAAAATGGAAGTCGTTCACAATATGCACCCTCACTTCATCACACGAATTCTTAAGAATAAGATACGAATAAACTTACCGAATGTGTTTAAATTCATATTGCCGCCGGACTTGTGGTTCCTGAAATATAAATACGGGACCGAAGCGTACTGTGACCGGACCTGGGTATCACATCTGTAATGAATACGTAAACATTTGTGATTTGTATCAAGCGTGTGTCACCTGTATTGTTACGTGTACTGATTACGTCATATTATGTGGGCTCACTCAGGTGTAGGCCCTATATATACCGCTGACTGTACCTCGTCCTCTGAAAGGCCGAAAGGCCATAATAGAGGACGCTAATCTCTTAATAATAATAATAATAATAACCTGGTTTCAATATCTGGGAGAGCGGTCAAGCGAAGAACACACAGGTGAGAGCAATGACAGGTGAGCACTCGGTGACGTGAGGGGACCAGTGGACCGGAACGGCAGAGGGCTGACGTCGGCGGGCGCACGGGTTGTCGCCGGGTACGCCGTAGCGGCGTTTGGGAATGCCGGAGCCTCTGCGTTGCTATCCTCACGGCACCGAGTGACTAACTACATAGATATCTTTGGGTGCCCGCATAATAGGACGCACTGCCCTGTTGCTACTGGTCTTTTATCTGTTTTGCAAATAAACTGTGGAAACTGTCAGAGATAGCGTTGGCTTATTTGTCAGAACATTTACTCCTGGAGGTTCGAACGCCTTTGTACGCCAGAACCCGGAAGGACAACGGTGGACCACAGACAGTTTACCGTTACAAAATTGGTGGCAGCGGTGTACGGCGTAAATATGACGTCGAGACTTGAGGAGTTATACGTAACTATTGACAGACTGCAAGCGGAGATTGACCAGATGAGTATGTCGAGCGATAAAGCACAGGCACAAGCGGCGTCACCGGCGCTACTATCACAACAGAATAATGAACCGGCGTTATCGTCGGCGCAGCAGACATACACGGCGTTATCATCAGCGCAACAGGCGTATCCAGCGTTATCGCCGGCACAGCAGGCGTTCTCATAATTAAATATATCACTAGAGCAACAGACGCCGACAACACATTTTAAGTCAACGGAGCAACAAAACGAGGTTATAAACAATGGGGCAAGACCAAAGACAAACCACCGAAAACCTAAACGCGGTACATTAGCTCCAGTAAAAAGGGAGACACATATCTCTATGCAAACAGATGGCGTTATGTCGAAACAAGAACAGGAGTCAAATGATGCAAAGATGCGCCGGAAGGTTTCACTAATGGAAGAGCGTATGCCGAAGACACAACGCCGACGTCAGGTGGGATATCTTAGCGGTGATGACGTCATGTCAAGCACCCCGAGGTGGCAGGAATTTGACAATCAAGAAAGAAGCATTGACGTACAGTTTGGAATTTGTCCGCCAAAGGAACGGAATAGGCTCGGCAACAACGTGACTTCCCCAAACAATAGGCCTTATAAGAAAGAACCAATAATTGATTTAAGAAATTTGCAAAGGACACCAACAGCAGCTGAAGAACCCAAATGGGCTACAATGAAGGTTAAACCAGCAACATGCGACGGTCTTACGTCCTGGATAGATTACTTGACTCATTTTGAAATGTGCGCGTCTATAAATCGTTGGTCTGACGTTGACAAGGGTCTCCACCTCGCTGTAAACTTAAGGGGGTTAGCGCAAGGCGTAATGGGTAATCTCCCAGCTGCAGATAAGGCCAATTTTACTAAATTATCTTCAACACTACAGCAACGATTTTCTCCGACAAACCAAACAGAACTGTACCGCTCACAGTTAAAAAGTCGTTGTTTGAAAGCAGGGGAAAGTTTGCCAGAGCTAGGACAGGGAATATTGAGGCTGACACAGCTGGCCTACCCAGGCGCAGCGCCTGAGTTATGGGAGTTTTTGGCTAAAGACTCCTTTATAGACGCACTGATCAGCTCTGACCTGCGACTAAAAGTGCAACAAAGTAGACCTGGAACGTTAAATGAAGCGGTAAGAACGGCTGTAGAGTTAGAAGCATTTGAGAAAGCCGAACGTTCTAGGACAGAATACAAAGGTTACGCCAGGGCCGCAGACATAACGGTAGAGACTTCCGTTCAAGACGACACAGTCAGCACTCTTAAGGAACTGCAAAAGATGATTCTTGACATGAAATCCGAGATAGACAAACTGAAAGAAAGTAGATCAAGCAGAAGCCGACCGAAGGACAACAAATGCTTTAAGTGCGGGAAGGAGGGTCATTTCCGGCGAAATTGTCCAGATAATAAAGATAGGACGGCGTATTCAAATATGGGTACCGGATATGAACAAGTTGAGGCGGGCGTTTACATTTCCGGGACATTGAACGAAATGTATACAGAGATGCTCGTGGATACCGGTGCAAGTGTTACCTTGCTGTCTATCGATCTTTTTCATCGCATCCCAACAGCGCAGCGTCCTAAGTTAGAACCGGTAAAGAAAGACGTAATAGCGGCAAACGGCGAGGCAATACGCTCACTAGGGAAATCCGAGTTTACGTTGACTGTTGGTCAGAAAACACTACGGTTCAAGGCAATTGTAGCCGATATTACGACTTCCGCTATTTTTAGGCCTTGATTTCTTGTACCAACAAAACTGCCATATCGACTTGAATAAGAAGGAGCTTAGAGTAAACGGCGAGATTCTGGCGTGTCGGTTAGCGGGCCGGTTTGGCTGTTGTCGCGTACATGTCGCCGAAACTGTCACAATTCCTCCGCGTAGCGAAGTAGTAGCACCTGCAGCTCTAGAAACAGAGACAAGCAATAGCATTGGTTAGAACCTCTGGCAAAAGGAGGAAAACATGGAAATACTATCGTAGGTCGAACACTTACACAGGCAGCAGGAACGGTACCAGTAAGATTGATAAACCCAGATGAGGAAGCTCATGTCCTATATAAAGGTACAGCAATAGGGCAATTTGAACCTATACAGAACGTAGTCAGACAGACAATCCCAGTTAGCAAGTCAAATGTAATTCCTGGACATTTACAGAAACTTTTCCAGGACACCGCTGGTAAATTGAACAAAGAACAGAGCGAAGCGTTAAGGAAGCTTCTCTGCAAGTATGGGGACTTGTTTTCAAAGGATGACAAAGATCTAGGACAGACTGATGTGGTGAAACACACGATTGACACTGGAACTAGGAAACCTGTCAAGCAACCACCTCGCCGACTGCCTCATCATTTACTGTAGGAAGCTGACAAGCAGGTCGACGAGATGTTGGAAAGGGGAATCATTGAACCGTCATCAAGCCCTTGGGCATCAGGTATTATTCTTGTTCGTAAGAAGGATGGTAGCCTGCGCTTCTGTGTAGATTACCGACAGCTGAACAACGCTACGATCAAGGACTCTTATCCGCTCCCCCGTGTTGACGATTCCCTGGACAAGCTAGGTGGTGCGAAATGGTTTTCGACCCTAGACCTTTCGTCCGGATACTGGCAAATAGGCATGGATCCTGTAGACAAAGCGAAAACGGCCTTTGCGACACGTAAAGGGCTGTTTCAATTTAAGGTGTTACCGTTCGGGTTGTGCAACGCCCCTGCGACATTTGAACGTCTTATGGAGACCGTGTTGGCAGGATTGCAATGGGAAGTATGTTTGATCTACTTGGATGACATCATTGTTCATGGTAGTGAGTTCGAGGAGTGTCTCAACAATCTAGACAGCGTATTTGGGCGTCTAGCAGACGCGGGTTTGAAGTTGAAACCTCGCAAATGCACACTGTTTGCCAAGGAAGTTTCATTCTTGGGACATGTAATCTCAGAAGATGGAGTTGCCACGGACCCGGATAAGGCAAAAGCAGTGCGGGAGTGGCCAGTGCCGAGAAATGTCGCTGAGGTCCGGTCGTTTTTAGGATTGTGTGGGTACTATCGCAAGTTTATATACAATTATTCCCAGATTGCAAAACCCCTTCATACACTCACGTCAAAGGAGCATGCGTTTGTGTGGTCACCATCTTGCCAGACGGCATTTTCCCAACTGAAGCTTAAACTAACATCTGCGCCAATACTAGCCCATCCAAACTTTGAATTGCCGTTCATTTTGGATACGGACGCATGCGATGTAAGCGTTGGTGCTGTTCTGTCGCAAGTGCAGGATGGGAAAGAACGAGTGATAATGTATGGAAACAGGATGCTTTCGAAATCCGAGCGGCGTTATTGCGTTACGAAGAAGGAATTGTTAGCAGTTGTACACTTTGTCCAATATTTCCGTCATTATCTTACCGGGGAAAAGTTCTTGATCCGGACATAGTGCTCTGCGCTGGCTTATGCAAAAGAAGGACCCTGAAGGTCAAACAGCTCGTTGGATCGAAACATTGTCAGCATACGAGTTTGAAATCCAGCACCGTCCGGGTAAAGATCATGGAAACGCCGATGGCTTAAGCAGAGTTCCGTGTGACGTCTGTACAATCAAACCTATAGAAAATATAAAGACAGGTTGGAGCCACGTTCGCGCTGCGATCTCTGTATCTGAACAACCAACCCAAGTACCGATTGAGGAGTTGCCGATTGGTGAAGCTCAACTGAAAGATGATTCCATCAAGAAACTAGATGATTGGATTAAACAGGGCAAGTGCCCCGATTCCAAGGAAATCAAAGCTGAAGGATGGGAGGTTAAATCTCTCTGGGCTCAGTTCGACAGGTTCAGAATACGAGACCGCGTCATTGTTAGGGAATGGAAAGACACAGCAAAGAAAAATACATCATGGCAAGTTCTTGTACCAAAAGGAATGCGCACAAAGGTACTAAGTCAAACACATGACAGTAAGACAGGTGGACATCTTGGCATCCGCAAAACGTTGAAGAAGTTGCGACAAAACTATTATTGGCCTGGCCTACAAAGGGACGTACGGCAATGGATCATTGCGTGCGAAAAGTGCGAGAGGGGAAGAAATTTCTAAGACGCCAGGGGAAGGAACGTCAACAAAGCACGTCACGACCAACGACGTGGGCATACAGTGTTACCTATCCGTGAAAAGGCATAGACGGGAGGAGACGACGACGAAGACCACCGTGGGAGCGGATGGTGAGACGACTGTGACAAGATCGTCTCACACAGTCGACTGGGAGGAGTACGTTGCCTGAAGGAATCCATGGGACGTGTTG